CTTGCCGTTTGCTCAATTGTAGTTAAGGTATGGTGGTAGCTGAGTCTGGGCTGGAGAAGTTTGGAGCTGTGCTTCTTAACCTGTGGTATTTCTACTCACCCTCTGTAAAATGGGGCTGATAGTGCCAAAACCTCTGGCATCCTGTTTCTGTGGCAGATGCTCCAGTTGTGTCCCCTTGCTCTTAGCATGTGCAGTGGCCATCTCCAAATGTGTCACAAACAATAATGAATAACTAGACCAATTAATCAAAATTAGTGCTGATGTAAATTCCTGCCCCAGCTGAGATGACAGGGACTGCTGGGGTTATGGGCGGACTTAAAAAGCAAAGTACGTAAAATTTGAACATCTAGGTACAGATATATGTTACATGCCACTGTGTGGCAAAATGCCTTTTGGTATTACGGATTTGGTGTGAGTGGTTCAGGGAGGCCAAAGAGGCTGAGTGGTTCCATGCTTCTTGGTCTGAGAAGATAACAATGCTCCTTAAACCATGAGGAGTTTAATTGCATGTTCTGATGTGTTTATAAAGAACCCCTTGACATCTGTGACTTCCTACGGTAACGGAAAAGGATGGGGGAATCTTTCTGTGTGGGAATAAAACAGCAGCTGCAGCAATGACCAGAAATGCTACCCAGGCTGGGGGGAGCACCTGGCACCTCCCCCTGGGGTCCCCTGTGCTGATTTTGGTTGTGGTAATTTTCTTTACAGTAGCTAGTTTGAGGGTATATTTTGGATTTGTGCTTCATTGAGTTGAATATGGCAAGGTCCCTTCTAACTCCAACTACTCTATGAGTCTCTAATATCCCAAACCATAGGTCATCCTCAGCAATAAAAGCTGGGGAAGAAGGAAGAGTGGGATGTTCAGAGTGATGGTGTTTGTTTTCCCAAGTCACTGTTAGGTGTGGTGGGGCCTTGTTCTCCTGGAGATGTCTGAACACCTGCCTGCCCATGGGATGTGGTTAATGAATTCCTTGTTTGCCTTACTTGTCTACATGGCTTTAGCTTTACCTATTAAACTGTCTTTATCTCAACCCATGAGTTTTCTCACTTTTAGCTTCCCAATTCTTCATCCAGCTGAGGGGGAGTAAGTGAGCAGTTGTGTAGGGCAGAGGTGCCAGCTGTGGTTAAACCACACCACCACCCAAAATGGGTCTCTGGGAAAGGAAAATGGATGATGTTCAGGGAGAGACTTAAAGGTGGAAGGAATTAAGTCAGAATGGTGAAAGCTTTGCCTGGAGGGCTGGGCTGGAGAAGACACATGTCCTGGCAGGATTGTGTGGAATGAGGGTCTCTGAGAATCTCCAGTCCCAGGATGCTCATTTCTGCCCTTGTGCCTTTGCCCTTTGTGGAGGGAAAGGCTTTGGGTGAAATGCTTAGAAATGCCAATGAAACAGCAATGATTTGATACAAATATAAAATTAAGCTTCCTTGCTGGGAAGTCAAGACTAGGCCAAGCTGAGCTCAGCTCTTGCCTTTAACACATTTATCCAGCAGTCTTATGAATACCTACATACATCTCAGTTTCTCTGACAAAAAACTTGGGTTAATGCTATTATTCCTTTAGTTGTCTTACTTGCAAAACTAATTATTTTTTTAGATTAAAATTGCTGCACACTATATTTTGCATGATATATTGCACTGAGATGATCCAGATTTTAAAGAAAGATTAAAAAAAAAAAAAAAGAGGAAGGTGAGGGTGAGTTTGTGTACTGAGGAAACTACAAAGATGTTCCATTTACTGTGCCTGAGCCAGCTTGCTGGATGTGTTAGGTACATGTAAATTATGGTAATTTTGATATAATTGTAACTACCATTTTGGTGCATCTGGCTGAGGGAAATAAGAAAACCACAGACTCCCCTGCTTTTGCTTGCTGTGCTCAAGGCATGCTGTGTGATTTGCTCTGACAATCACCCGGTCACTCAGTTCTCACCTCTGTCCTAGCCAGAGCTTGCAATAATCTGATTGGGATATGGTTCAACTGCTAACACCTGAGGAACCCTGCCTGGTGCTGCTTATGCTGCTTTTTCATTCCTTCACTGCATGTCTCACATTCTCTTGCTTTTACTGAATGCACTCACGTTTCCTGCTGTATTAAGAATATTTTCAGAGTTATGCTCAAGAGCCACAGGCCCCATTCATAACTGCTTTCCATTAGTCTCTGACCAAATGAGTACAGATTTCCCACTCAGGTTTCTCTTTTACCCAGCAGACAGTAAAAAAGTTTCATTTCCATCACTGGTGTGCTCTTTCCTTGTTAACAAGATCCCAAATGGACTTCCTACAATGCTGCCTTATGTGCTTCTGAAATTCATTCTTTTCCTCTTTCTGTGAACTGGTAAATTTCAGGATGCATCTTTTTGCTACCTAATATCTGAGGGGCTACAAGATGAAGAATGTTTAAGTGGTTAAATTTCTGCTGATGGAAAATATAATGCATAAATATTACTTTTATCTTGGTTGCCATTTTATCTGCATGTGTATGTCTCTGTTTAAGTTATCATCACATAATTATCATTATGCTCATAATCACTCAGGTTTCTTGTATAACCCCATACTTTCCTTCCAGTTTGTACTGGTCCACATGGTGCTGGAAGACTTCTTCCTAGAGTGATCGCTGCTGAGTTTCACCCTGCAGGTGCAGGTTTCTGGCACCACTCACTGGCTGACTTTCAGACTGACACATTAAATGAAATTCCCACAGGTCAGAATTGGAAAGTTGGTTAGAATGGTGCTACTGCAGAATTGTGATTGAAAAGTGATGATCTTTTTGTTCTTTTCCTTCCTTAAAAACAAAAAAAAAAAAGAGAAAACTGAACTGAATTATTTGGACTGCAGGGAGTTTACAATTGCTTAAGTTGCTCCCCAAAACGTTCCCAAGGCTTGGTTAAATGTGGCTTTGAGCCACCTGATCTAGTGAAAGATTATCCCTGGCAAGTACAGTGGTGATGAGATGATCTTTAAAGGTTCCTTGTGATCCAAACTATTCTGTGGTGCTCTTCTCTGTTGTCTGAGCAGTCTCTCACTATTCACATTTAATAAGGCTTTTGACATGTCTAAATTGTGCCCCCAGATCTCTAACACTGGTAAAGAGCTTCCCAGCATCTTATGCACCGAGCAGAAGTAATGTGTGTATATAATGAAAATCCATCCTCTTGTCAGCAAAAATCGGACAAAATTAAAAAGTCAAGGCAACCTAATTCAAGTCATTACCGATTTCCCAGTGACAGATTTTTCTACAAGCCACATTTTAGTCTTGTACAAGTTTAAAAATATGATTTATTTTTATTTTCTGTTTAACTAGATTTCTTCTGATTAGAAAATTTCAGCACTTAGGTGTTAAAAATGCATTGTGGAAGACATCAATCAACACCTGAGCACTGGGGCCTGCTGGTGCTGGGGGACCCTGCCCAGGAAAGGCTGTCCTGAGCCGTCTCCTCGCTGCAGGACTTTGCCAGGACAGGCCCTGCCCTCCGTGGTGCCAGCACCAGGCTCCGGGGAAGCAGGGCTGTGTGGGAGGAAACTCGGTGTCAGCAGCCTGTTTTCATCGTGTGCAATGAAACCCCAAGGCCACGGCCGTCCCTACTGGCTGCCGTGCACAAACAATGTCCCGATTGTCCGTCGCCGCTTGGACTCTCCTAGAAGCACGGTCACTGTGTCTGTATTAATTAAAAACAAAGCCTGCTTCCAGTGCCCAGCTCCTGAACCCATTCTGGCAGCCACACTGAAGCAGCCTCTGTGGGGAGCTGGGTTGCTTGAAGCTCAGACAAAAAGGGTCGTGGGCTCGGCTCTTCTGGGCTCTGAAAGTTTGGTACCACAGCACGACCTGCCCGCACAAACCCCCTCAGTGCTGCCAGGCTGCCCACGCTGGCAAAGGCTGTGCCGGGCTCAGGCCAGCCTGTGTGCTGGGGGACAGCTTCAGACTTATTATCTGCGTAATGACAGACTGCAGGGCCACTGCTATTGTTTTATTTGAATTGCAGAAATCTCAAAGAGCCCCAGTCTTGTGGCCTAATCCACTGTATCTGGGATGTACAAATACAGAAAAACCCAGGTGGGTCTTGTTCCTCCTAAGCTCCCTAGGAGCACTGCTAGTTAAGCAAAGTAGGTCAGTGCTCCAAACACACAGATGTAAAACACACATCAGACTGGAGAGATGCAAACTGGATTATTAAACCATCAAGTGGCTGTTAGAAACTTCCTAAGCGCAATTAAAATATTACCATCCTTTCATACAAGCAATGGAAACTAAAGTGGCAATTAGTTTCAGTTACAGTTTTGGAGTTCTGGACAAGCATCTTCAGATGCTTTTTCTTTCTGGTCACCTGATCTGTACATCCATGACTGCACAGGCATCTGCCTCCACCCTGCAGATGAACATTTGAGCTGTGTGTGATGGGACAGGTGCATGCTCCCTGTCTGGCAGCTTTTGTGCAGGGAGCAGCTGATGTCACCTCCACACCTTTTGCTGCTGACTTGTGACACACAAATGGAGCAAGCGAAGTGCTGCCCCATCCACTCACTCCTCTTTAGCAATGGGCCAGACAACTTTATTGCAAGGGAATTAACTTGTTGCCACCCACTGCAATTCTCCCTCTACACTATGTTATATGTTGTGCTGATGATTAATAAAAATAACTATATATAGGTGAATCACAGGGGTGATTTCATTCATTCATTGAGTTTGTGTATCTGCAATCAAAATAAAAGGTGTTCCCCAAAGGCTTATTCCCAGGCACTATCTGTGTCCCGCCTGCAGGAAAGTGCTGACTGACACGGGGCAATAAACTTTAGTATTCATGGAGTTCACTTTATAATAGAGTTAGTATCTGCCAAGTCAAATACTGCAAAACCAGTAAAACCCTCACTGCAGCTCTAATGACATCAAGCTCCTGTGCATAAAGTTTGGGCTGAGGTTGGGTGGGGTTTGATTTTTTTGGGTTTTATTTATTTATTTTAAAGAGGGGGGAAAAAAAGAAAATAAAAAAGAGTTGAGAAAAAAGTTAGCAAAATTTTTAGCCTTTGTTTTATTGAGTTACAACAAATGAGCAACAAGTTAGAAAAGTTGGGTTTATTCAAACTCCCTAGCATCGCAGCGTACTGAAAGGTGGACAAGTTTTCCAGCCCAGCTCCTCAGACAGCTCTTGCACCCAGGCTCCTGCTCTCCCTCCATTCCCTCCTCACACATGCACAGACAGACATCCCCACACAAATCCAAATTAGCAGTATTTGAAAAAAAGTGCACTCAGGAACCTAGGAGTGATCTAAAAATTTAGTGGCAAGGATTAATAAGGAACTTCTGCTGTGCGCTACAAGGTCTAAAGCTGGAGGGCAGGCTGCTGGTTATGGTGTCCATCGCTGTACCAGACAAAGAAACACAAATAAGTTTGGATTATGAAGCATCCTAATTTCCTCATTTCAATCCCTCTGGGAGTTGTACTGCATGTTTAAACAAAAAGTGCTAAAAAAAAGGACCCCAAAACCAAACCAATAATCAATTAAAGTCATTCCAGCCAAATCTTCAGAGACCCATAGGTGGGGCTGGCTGGTGAAAAGTGAAGTACAGGAGCTGGAGAAGACTTGCCTTGTAGGAGCATGGAAAAGCAGAGATTTAAATACTTCAATCAGTAGCAGGTGGCCATAGAACAAAACAAAAAAGTCAAAACAACATAACAAAAAAAATCAAACCCCACTGCTCCAGAACATGTTTAACTGGTCTGAAATGTAAACTGGAGTGGGGATCTGGGCTCAGGTGTTGATCTGCACCAAGACAACTCCAAAGGATTGCAACTCTTTCTTAGAACACTTCAGGAAAAAAAAAAACCAAACCTCCCTCCTCCACAAAAGACACTTCCCTCTCCCCAACCAACCCCAAAATTTCTCAATTGCATTATATGCAAGAATAACTTGCACCTATTAAAAAAATTAACAAAAATTCTTATGTTGTACAAATCTGTTGCAGTAGAGGAAGAGGCTGGGCAGGAAAGTGGGTGGGAGAGAAACTAAGAGAAAACTATGTACAAGAACCTTTTCCTTTTTCTTTCTTCTCTTTTGCAATGCAGTAGTAGGACTTTGGCACTATCAAGAATTCCATGACGACGCTCCAAGAGAGTATTTCTTACTGTGCCTCCACAAGCACAGTTTGAGACCTGGAGTCACAACACACTCTCTCACCCAGGCAGGAAAATAGAGTTTTCTTCTATTTTCAGACAGCATTTCCCCTTCAACATCAGGACAGTGCAGCTGAGGAGTACCCCTGCAGAAATTATAACAGCAGCATATTATTTTTTAAGGCACTATGAACTGTTTGAACTATGTTACTACAAACTGTTAACTATGATGAGATCTGGTTTATATCCCTGCACATATGGTAACACTATTTTGTGTTAGCTGTACCCTGAGGCCTATCCCTATCACAGCCTCATGTGGTAGGGTGTTGCATTTTTGCTGCATGTAACACCCAGCTAATAATCCCCTACAGACTTCCAAAGGGATATACGGTCCAGCCTTGGCTCCGGCAGATTCTCACACTGACTCAAAGATGATGCATGCACACGTTTGGGGCAACTACTTTGCAACCACAGGACAGACAGTGCTAAAACCAAGAAGACTTCAGGTCTTTCTCCCCCAGTAAATCCCCTCGAAATACCTTTTGTTTTACGTGATTTTTGAAAATTATACAAACTAAAAGACAATGGAAAAAGTTGGATGTGCCTGTGCTCTGCAGAGCAACTTCCTGGTTCTGCTATGACTCCTGCAACCTACATAAAGGTTCCACAACCAGAGATTAAAAAAATGACCTCTCAAAACCCAACCTTCAAATAGCCACCAATTCACACAGATCACCAGTTCCCAGCAAAAAGCAAGAGCTCTATGACAGGGATTATGCTCAATTTTTCCACACTGAGGTGTGAATGTGCAAGAAGTGCAAACATCCTTTTCACCCACCACCCTGCAGCAGTGCTCACTGAAACCTGAGCTAACTTGTTATTTCACACCTCTTATGGATGTTGCTATCTGGTCTGCTATTTCCCACAAAAAGAGTGAGCTCTATCTGGCATCTGCAATGTAGTCAAGCTCAGGAAAAGGCCATAGGCTTGTACCAACATCAAGGGGAAAAGTCCTTCCCCCACCCTTGAGACCTTCCCACACAGACCCCTGTTCATCCTGACTCACTGGAAAATTTTAATTGCTGCACTGGGTTTTGCTTCTCCCTCTGCAATCTTTCATTATATTAGAGCTTGGGTCTCTAATGCACTTCACTTGTTTCAGGGGAAAAAGCATGTCCTCCCTACTTCAGCCTCATTCCATCAGATGTTTTAGGGTGACCTGAACTCTGCAAAAACGACTGGTCAATCCATGCTAAGTTACTTCAGGATGCTGACTTGGGGCCCAGCACCAGTAGCAGACACTGCTGAGAGCTTTTCTAAACAGAACCCTAAGCCTCAAGAGAAGTGAGAACCTGGGCAGAAAGTGAGAAACTCCAGTGATGTTCACTTTTAGTGGTTTCAGATGCACTGGGTCACTGGCAAACAAGTGATCTCGGCTCCTGCAACAGTGCAGAAGGGGCTGGAGATGCCAAGAGGACCCAGCCTACCTCTGATGCTCAGAATCATGCATTCAGCAGATGCAATGGATGACTGCCTTCAGGCCTCTTTTTTTCCTACTGTGCAACCTTCACACATGGTTTGACTTTGGCAAATCTCCACAGAGCAGCGGTCACAGCCATCAAGATTCAGGATGTTCAGCTCGTTCCCACCATGAGCCACAGGCTTTGGTGCCTACATCTTGCAGGGCTCATGCTTAAAAAAGGAGGTAATGAAATAACTCCAAAAAAAGACAGTTTACTGTGGAAAGATGGTGATGGGGGAAAAAAAACAAATCATTCTGAGAAAAACCAAAAGCTCTGATCTTGGGAAAACCCCACAGGGAGACAACACTGAAGAAAGCCAGCAGAATCTGCCAAACGCTGGGATGCTCTGGTCCTGCTCTCCTCTCTGAGCTGTAGTTTGCTGTATTTAATTCAGATTAACCAGTTTCTGTTTGTCGAGTTTGCACAGAGGAGGACAAGGGAGCTAATTCTGACCTGTGCTGTAGGAACACAGGAACCTCTCTACTGATGGAAAGGGAGCTAAAGCACTCTCTTGACAGAGCAGTTGGCCATTACATTAAGAGGAGCTCACTACAGAGCTCCATTAGAGTCTCAGGAACACTTTCAGAGGTGGCTTTAGTGCACCTTACAGAAGCACTCAACATCTGGAAGGCCCAGTACCCTATGGGGGCAGGCTCCCAGCCTCTCTGTTCAAGAAAGCTGACGTGCTCCATGGAATAAATCAAATTTTGCCAGAAGCTTCAGATACAGACTTAGTAACAGAGCCTCTTCTTAGTCCCAGGATGGTATTGCAGAGCCTGGCACGGATCCTGCTCTCACAGAGGCCCAGTCCCTTGTGAAATTCCTTCTAGCTGCAGCAGCATCTGCCAAACATGGATCAGTTTCAGAAAAACTCCATTTTTTAAAGCATAAGGTCTATCTAGGCTGTAACACAAATGCTCTCTACATAGTTCCAAAATCTCCTAAAGCTACATACTGGAGAAGAGAGTGACTGAGATGGTCTGGAAGAACTGAGTTTTACAAAAGCCACACACAAATTCAGTCAAGAAGGTATGGAGGTAAATCACCAACAAATATTCATTTTAGACTACATAGATCAAGCTGGCAAAACAGCAACACCAGGAATATGAAATGAGCATGCTTCTGCCTGATGCATAGTTCAGCAGTGAAAGACTCACACATTAAGTGTGGCTGTGTGAGAGACAAGAGGAATCCCTTGTCAGCTCTTCAGTCCACCTCTTACATATGGTACCTGAGGAGCATGTTAAGAAAAATCCAGCTTTTATGACAACTGACAGAAACAAGCTCTCTGTCAGGTCATACAAAAGTCTCTGCTTTGGAGTCATACCCTGGATGTCACTTAGGGTAATACCTTGTTAATTTAACACCAAAGCTTTAGCTGAAAATTTCTAAGCCTGGCTGCCCAGTAAAAGCTTAGAAAAAGTAGCTGAGATTATTCCATGAGTCCCATCAGTGTGGGGTATAAAGATTCCAAATTGTGTGTCACAGCGACTGTGGCAATGCCTCCATGTGCACCACAATGCACAATGCACTTGCATTTCTCAGCTGAGACTTACAGGCAGAATATAAGAAAATTAGAAAGACTTTTTCAAGTCCACAGGCCAGCACACTGAGAAACTGGCAAGGAGCAGAGGACAAAATGTCCCTCTGACCATTACTGCACACTCTTTGCAGCACAGGTCCTGCTCCAGTGCACATTTCTCACTAGGTGTATCTTTACAGACAATCACTAGAAAGCTCCTCATCGAAAGGATCACTCGGCAACAGTTTAACTGAGATTAAAGTTCTTATAAAATTCCTCTCTGATAATACTTGAGCACCTCCAGAGCCATGAAGCTTCATGGTCAACATCTGTACCAGGGCACAGAAACATGAGGTTCACTCCAACGTACCTGACATTGATCACAAGCACAAAAGCGCAGGCACCAAACCTATGCTGCTGGAAGAGAGCTGTTGCAGATCTTGGTTCCATAGTACAAGAGGTTTGTAAGAAACAGGGATTTCAGGCAACTCCCCCTGCTCCTGCCTTCCTCCCTATCACCTCTCTGAGGCCCTGATCTGCTCCCTCTCCTCAGAATCAATATTTGTACCTGGAAGAGGGAAATGTTCTGGAATAACAACACAGAGAAAAATAATCACTCAATGCATTTATTCATCACACATTTGACGTTAAAAGGCAGATCAGATCCTGGCTCTCCCTTCTTATGTGGCTGCAAAGCAGTGGCACCCCAGTGTGCCTCTGGCTGATGTTCCCACATCCTTCTTCCTTTAATCCCTGCCTTTGACACACAGGTAACACCTGTTCCTCACATCCCTAATTACCAACTTTTTCAAGGATAATGCAGTACAGTGCCTTGCAATGCAGTCTGAACCTTTAATATTTTGTTATATAGATGTTGTCAAAACATTTCTCAAGATTAGCTAACAGAATTCACAGATAAAAATAATACTATTTCAGTTTTTTTTGTTTTCAGCTCAGACAATCTTGGTCAAGTATTGCACACAGAGAAAGTGGAGTGCTAGCCCGCAGTGCTCACTACCAAAAACTGCACCTCTGTATCAGGTAGTTCAATCCAAGTACTGGTAGCTATAATATCAGAAGTCTTAAATACAAATGTGGAGGTATTTCTATCAGTCCTGACTTTTGTATTTCTTTTTTTTAAATTAATGCTAAAGTATATTTTACTTATTAGATACCAGAAAATTACTAATTTTCTCAAAGAAGTGTTCTCTCACAATGCAGGATGCTTTGTTTTTAATGCAGGATGTTTTTAATGCAGGATGCTGAGCTTTCTGTAGGATAAGCTCTAAAGCTGTGGTTTAAGGAAGCTCTGGTTTGGGAGAGACAGATCCATTATACTGAGCACAAAATGTTACAGGCTCCAGTGAACTCAATTCAACATGCAAGAAATACTGACAGTGCTCGATCCAGATTTACACCTGTGCAACTGTGATCAGAAACAGGTTTCAGCTCTCCAAATAACAAGTCCTTTCACACTGTGAAAGATCATATAACCTTCCCTTTAAAGCCAGGCTCTGCAGCTTGCTTTTAAATTCAAGATCCTGTGAGGAAGAGCTGCTAAACACCCACACAGCTTAGTCTCGGGCATTTCCTAAGCCTCTAGTGAGAGCAAGCAGAACAAAGCGGACTGGAGAGAATTCTCACTTGCAAGAAGAAGAAAGCACATTTGCATGAGCCACTTCAGTCCCCCCCCCCCTTTTTTTTTTTTCTTTT